ACTTGGGCCAGCTCATCTGTCGGAATCTCAAGGCGTTCCCAGGCCAGCTGAGAAACATAGTCCCTCCAGCGTGTCCTGGGTCTACCATTGGGTCTCCCAGTGGGACGTGCCCAGAACACCTCATCAGAGGCATCCAGGAGGCATCCTAACCAGATGCCCGAGCCATCTCAACTGGCTCCTCACGATGTGGAGGAGTAGCAGCTGTACTCTGAGCCCCTCACAGATGACGAACTTCTCACTCTAACTAGATGACAAAATAAAGCTAAAAGTACCTGTTTTAAGCAGTTAAAAAAGTTGCATTCAGATTTATAATCAACTTTCTATACCAGCAAGCTTACAAAGGKGTGGCTGCTGCACCCTATGTCCCCTTACTGCTCTTGGTTTTGGAGATTGGAGATTTTAAGACAGCAGAAATCTGATTTGATTTGATTTTAGACTAACCCCTAGTTCATCAGTCTAGTCAGAATCAAGTACTTAATTTCCAAACTGAAGTCATTCAAAGGATTTATCAACAACAGGTAAGATACTTATTATACTTATTGTTCACTGTTTTGTTTGTTGATTTTGGGTGTCAGGTCAGTCTTGGCATAAAATCTTTGTAACAGTGCCTGAATATTGAAGGGTTAAATTTGTGCACAAATCTACCTCTGCCTTTGCATAAAACTTCTTATAACATTTTAATACTCAGACAACAGTACTGAAACTGTTGACTGATGATATTTGAACTGTACTAAAAACAATTTTAATTCAACTTGCATGTTCTCACAGACAGCATTGCTTTTTACATTTCTTAATACCTACCATAATATTTTAGTATGACCTGTTTTAAACTGCAGTAATTTGTGGAATGATGCCTCTCTCTATATAAACTCTAATTGAACTCTGCTGCTGATTTGCAGCTCAGAGCTYGTGTCGGATCTCCACTGCTTTGGTTCAGAAACGCATAATAGTCAGCTCAATTGTGTTCGCACAATGTGGAAACAAAGGAAATGGCTTGTGTGTCATTTTCAGAGTAATGACTTCATGCTGTTTTGACATCAGCTACCAACAACACACTGTGCGCAACAAATGCAAACAGGGGGTGTGCCATCTACTGAATCATAAAGCAGCAGAATGGCAGAGCTTTGTACAGGTTCATTCTGGCTTGTGTGCCAATTACTCACTAAATCTTACTCTTGCATTCACTCAAAGACTCTATAAGGTCATTTTAATAAAAAAATTCAATATGAAGATGAATAAAGGTATTAGAGGCCAGGTTCTCTATTGAGTCTTCCCACTGAAATGACGTAAACCTGGAGGCAGACAGCACGATTCATCACTCTGACGCAAAACCACAACTCCATGACAACAGGTAACTGTCTATTTTTTTTTCATTTTGTTTGTTTACTATCAGCCTTTGTGAAGCAAAGAAGAAAAAAATTGATATTTGCAAAGTATTTGCTATTTTGAACCTTTTCTGACTGATTTTAGATGTGTAGCCACCGGCCTAAGTCTTAAGCCAGAACTAAAAAAAAAAAAAAAAAAAAAAAGATTGAGCAGAATCTTAAGTGCTTTGAACACACTCCACGCAGGAGTCTGGAGACCTGTCTAATATATGAGGAAATGTTTAGTGATGCCTCTTTCATGTGAGAAGAGAAAATCCTGAAGTATCTCCTTCACACAAGGATCCAAGGTTGTGAATGTCATTCTTTTATATTGAGGTTTTTAAACCTGCCCTCGTAGGAACATGAAGCACTGATGCATTAAAGATGACCTGCTTATATGTATGCAGATACCACTCTGACAYGGTGTGGTGCTACTTATAGCTAATATGGTGAATAACACTAAAAACAAACATTACACTTTTTATTTTAGACAAGACTTTTCATTTTTGTCACACAAAAGTGTGATGATGACTCTGCCTGTGTGTGTTTTCTCATAAACCACTGGACAAATTTGGATGCAAATCTCAGAAAGTAATAGGCCTACACCTAAAAGTGAAACACTTTTGAAAACAGACTTGTTTAAAATAGCCAGAAAGCCTATCTAAAAGGACTGTAMTGCTGCCAGTTTTACAGATTTTGGGCTATAATTTGGTGTAGTAGTAGCTAAAAAAGATCCATGACTTGTGCTCTGAGCAGTAAAATATTACCCAAGATCTGTGTTTACAACTTGGCCATTAACGAAAACAGTCAACTGCGTCTGTTAGCAAAACTTCTCAGGAACCATCAGACAGATTTTAATGAAACTTTCAGAAAGTAATCATTTTTGCTGACATTCACAATCAAYYCGATTCAAGATGGCCACCACAGCTAATTGACTGTATCAAACACAACAATGGTTGTAACAGCTTAACAGGTATTGAGCTAAACTTCAGAGTGGAAGTCAATAAGCATCACCTGCAACAGAGTGTGACAGACTGCAGAAAAGGTTTGCCTCAAACTTTGGCAATAAATGCTAATATCAACCATAATTGTAAGCAAAATACCTTATAAACCACTGAACTGATTTAGAAATTAATAATTGGATAGTGAAACTAGTGTATGTAATGAATTGATTTATTATGTTTAAGCTTTCTTTAACCAAACAAATCCCACAGAAAKTGCAGCTCTTTTTTGCAAGGAAGGCAGCCTAACATGCATGTTTTTGGTCGATTRGAAGGAAACTGAAATACCTGGAAAAAACCCACACAAGCATAAGGAAAACATTCAAACTCCATAAAGAAAGCTCTCAGGTCAGAACTCTGTATAAAACCCAGGACCGTCTTGCCGTGTGGCATCAACCGTTGATCCATCAAACTACCAACATTTAGTCAGCTCAGTTCAAGATGGCTGCCACAGCTATTRGTCCRCAYAAAAGYAGCTTAACTTTATGAATTTTAAAAAAATATTGAGGCTGAATTTGATGTRGTAGTAGCTGATAGTCATTTACACCTCACATTCAAAGAGCTGCACRTCTTTGCATAAAATTTTGTGAATCACTGTTTAAGACAAGTTTTGCTGACAGACATATCTGAAACTTGAACCAATAAAGTTGAAACTGTTAAAAACTAATGCTTGGTTTTCTATCTGTAACTGATTCATGTTTAGGCTCCGCCCATTTCAAGATGGCCACAACAGCTAAACAACATTATAGTCAACAAAATAAGAGCACAAGTTTTTTTTTTTCTGAAGAGGGAACTGCTTCAGATTAAGCAGAATAATTTTACAAAAGACCTCACACTGAGCTATAGATCATAACAAAACACTGTCTGTTTATACAAGCTGATGAAGAGGAAATGCCAAGCAGTGCATCAGTGACTRAAAGGTTTAAATATATGTAGTTTTAAGGAAGGTACAAAAAACATATTTTTGTGTTTTTGGTGTTTTGGTTGCTCTGGCACATTTGGATAAATTATTCAGATTGATTTATTAAGAAGGAGTATACACACACAAACAAACAGTTGTTCCACCTGTAGTCCCTATTGGTTAATAAATAATAAAATACATAAAAAATGCAAAAACAAATCAAAAACACTGAGAACAGATGCAGCACAAAACAACTAAATACATTTGAAAACCCAAATACAAACAAGCTGATTAAATGTAGGATAAAAAAAAATAGAAAACACACTCACTCCATCTATAAGTTGCCAGTTAACATACAGTATACTGGTCAATTAGCTGTAATGGCCATATTTAAAGTTAAAGAGTTGAAGAAGTTCTGAAAGTTTTATCAAAATTAGCTTAATAGTTCACAAAAAAATTGCTACTGGTACAGATAAAGAAACACTCACATACAAATATGGCATGCCATGTGTAAAATAATAATTTAAAAAATGCCACTAACACATTTACATTATTTAGTTCACTTTCTGAGTGTAAAATCTTAGTTAAAATTTCCCAATAGATTCCCACTTTTTATTTTTATTTAGATTACTGCTCTTACATTTTACTAGTTTTTTTTAACGATTTTATTATTATTATTATTATTATTATTATTATTATTATTATTATTATTATTTTAATGGTAAATGTTATGTCTGAATTTTAAATCCTAAATGTAAACGTGTAAGTTAAATGGTAAAGTATACATTTTAGTATTCCATGAAGGAATGCAGCCCTTGACTTTGGTGCACACCTTTTGTAATTATGTCATCATCCAGAAACAAAAGCAGGTGCTAACGCTGCTAACACTGCTAACACTTACCTACAAGACATCAMACTTGCWGTTGTGGTCRATGTCCRAGTGGCACTKCAAATTGCTGGACCACATGTACCATCCAYATTGTTTTGATGAACACATTTTGAGTATAACTTTTAAATGCATCTTTAGCAGCAAATAGCAGTGTTTCCTTTTGTCACAGGGTGATGATGTCACAACAAAAGATGTGCACCAACAACAAAGGCTGTGTACCATTCCAAAATTCTTAAAGGTAAGCTTTATCATTGAGCTGCAACTTTTAAGATTTTAATTTTTATTTTTAGATTTATACATTTAGATTTAGGAATTAAAATTTACATCTAAAAAAATAAAAACATTTGTAAAAAAAATAAGCAAAATGTCAGGGCTGTGGTCTAAATAACAATACAATGTTAATGAGAATTTGCTAACTAGTATTTTACACCCAGGAAGTGAACTAAATAATGCAAATGTGTTAGTGACATTTTTCAACATTTTATTTTACACTTGGCATCTCATACATACACACACAAGCAAAAACTTTATTGTCAATGTTTATTGAGGCCATAAGGATTAAATTGAACTATTTCAGTCTTTATATGGTAGAAATGTTTGTAATGTTTCATAAATTCTACTTAAGGATAAAATTTATATTTTATTTACAACATAAAATTATTCAGTATATTGGYTGAATTATGTGCAGCTGCTTAGACTTTTTCTTTACATTTATTTATTAAAAAACACAATGTTTATGCCTTTAGTGAATTTTATTTTTAGTCTTAGCTTTTCACAGAAAGAGAGAAAGGAGGTTTTTAAAAGAACTGAAAGACTTTTTATCTGGATTCATGCTGTTTGCAACGTTTCAAAAAAGCTGATTTTATGGAACCAGAGCATTAACACGAGTAAACCTGTGCCAGGGGAATCTCTCTGGACTGTGAGATGAGTCATAGTGTTGAGTCTAAATTTACATCATCATTGAGAAAAGACCTGGTTGGCATTGACGTGCTATAATTACAGGTCTGTCTCTCTGTGAAAGGTTACTCATTATTGATTATCTCTACCATCGACCCACATCAGTGTGTCTGATGAAGTGTGTGTGCGAGCCCAGGCGAAAACACTCTACACTCATCAATCAGTCATAAAGGACTCTGCCCGCAGAGACAAACAGGTGGCACGTCATTAACCCCCGGCGGGAACTTCATGGTTTTAAAAATACAACCTTTGCATTCAACAGGAAACGGTTTGTTGGACGGAAGGTTTTAACATTGAGTTATAACTCATAAGAGCTCTAATTAGAGTTTATTGGCCTTTCCAGACAGCTTTATAATACCCCAGACACTTATCTTCCTGATTGTCTGATCTTAATTATGCAAATTAACTTTTACAGGGAGTCAGTTACTCTAATGATTAAATGTTGGTTTTGCTGAGAATATAATCTGCTCTGGGGGAGCAGGCTGAATACATATGTGTTTGCTCACTTTTTTATTTTTTTTATCGATATGACAAAAATGATTACTTTCAAACATTCAGAACAAAGGAGTTTAGCTGTGATCATTGKGTGACGCTCATAATTGTGTTTACTCATCTTTTATCTTAAGAAAAGTCATTCATTCTACCCTGCCCTTTATCACACAAATAAAGGTGCCCTTTTCCTCTTTGTTGAATGGATGACGTCTTTACCCCCCCCCCCCCATAGGCTTTGATTACAATAAAAGCTGTGAGAGATCAGAATTTTTTGTTTTGTTTTGTTTTGTTTTACAATCCGTAAGACATTTATCCATAGGTGTTCAGGTTTGTAGTTCCAAGTTTTCAGTGAATTATTGGTAGCTGACAGATTTTCTTTTTTGTGAATGTTTCTAAAAATCCATTCAATATTGTAAAAATGACCACTGTTCCTGGATTTCGAAGCTTTTCTAACCTTCTGTCACAAACGTGAAACCGAACTCTCAGTAGATATTATTGTTAGCTCTCTGGACTCCGAGGCTTTSGGAGTTCTCATAAGAACGCAGCTTGTTATGGTTAAATCTTTAAAATATAACAATAACAGCCTGAAAACATTTCAGGTCGTGTCATTTGACAGGGATATTCAGGTGGAATTTTAATCAAATTTAACAAATGTTATTAATGCAATCTGGTCAGTTTGAACAATGTACTCATGTAATGGAACTAATTAAAGTAATCAAGTATGAAGTGGTTTTCAAGTAAATTCAGAAAGTCATGCCTCAACAATGTGTGTGTGTGTGTGTGTGTGTGTGTGTGTGTGTGTGTGTGTGTGTGTGTGTGTGTGTGTGTGTGTGTGTGTGCACAACAGTGATATTTTGAATGAGGTTGCAATGACATATGAGATTTATTTCTGTTTTTGCTCACATGTTTATTGTTGTTTTATGCTTTGTTTTGCTTTTTTATATTTCAAAGTATAACAAAGTAGCCTATACAGACATTTTGTTTATTCTTAGATAGACAATAAAATGTTTAGTTTTCTGTTTGCTAACTCTAAAAGGAGTTGTTACAGTCTGTAAAATTAGAATTTTGGTGGATCTGATAGATTTTTTTACACTGCACTGTAAATTTAGACATACTGTATATGATTGCTCAACTAATTTATGCTTAATTTGCAACAATTTATATATCAGATTTTAAAAATATTGATGTCTCTAGAACTATGACATAAGTTTTCAACTCTCCACTAAAAAAAAAGCTTATTTTGAGTCTGGATGCAGACCATGGACCACCATTTGAGGACCTGTGCTCTGGAAATTTATTGTGCAGTTTATTGTTAGATCATCAAGAAGTCAAAAAGTTGTTCACCGGTTTATTTGGCTCCTGTGCTTTAGGCTTGAGCAGCAGAACCAGAGATATAAAAATAGAATAAGCATCTGCATAGAAATAGAAAGTATTCAATCACTCAAAGGCATAAATCAATTATTTACACGAAGCACATTTATTTCCTAAATCACGTATTTATTCATTAATCAGATGAAAATGTGAGATCTCTCATGATTTGCTAGGGTTTAAAGTGGCCTGTCGTTGATAATGGCTCTCAGCCACCACAACATTTGAACATGTGTAAAATTCAGGGAGTTATAGACAGTTTTGTGCAAACTAGGGTTGATTAGTTTTGGTAGCCATCTTGAATAATTCAGTTGCACATCAACTAATTACTTTCAGAAAGTTTCAATAGAACTTCTCAGTAGTTTATGAGATATTTTGCTAACAGACAAAAAAGGGCCAATGCCAACAGTTAATGTCAAAGTTTTAAGGAAAKGTTTTGTGCAATGAGTTGTTCTAAAATACTGGTGGGCACAATGCTCAGTTACAATCACACCGAAGTTTAGCTCCTTTTTCTGTAAAACAGTTAAAGCCATTTTTGTATTGTCTAAGGTTAGTGAACTGTGGTGGCCATCTTGAATGGGGTTGCCTCCGAGGGCTTAAATTTAGGTCTATCATTGGGGGTCATGCTGTCTGTCTATTTACATTGAATCCTTTACTTTTGATTCAGGATATGATGGGGTTATACAGTAGGCCATGTATGGGCTTTTCCCCCCACTATTTTTTCCTACAKYAACAAATATTTTACATTTTTAAGAKACAACATACTGCCTAAATTTCTCARTTTCSCARAAATATATTTACCTGGTGTGRWATGGATAAATTACAACACAATTCAATGTTATAGACTTATATGGACTGGATCAAAAATATTGTGGGGATCATACCCCCTCAGCCCCCCTGAAAGTTACACCCATGGTTGACTCCAAAAGTTAATCGGTTGTAGACATTCATCCAGTAATTCTTTTCTGATTTGTTTTCGTTTAAAACTGTTCAGTGATTTGTGAGATTTTTTTTCTATCATACAGACAGAGTTAATGGTTAATTGCAAAGTTTTTAACACAGATCTCGTGAGATAGTTCTCAGCATTGGGAGTTTCAGCTGCTTTTGCCTCAATGTTCGTAAAATTGCCAAAGTTTTACCAAATTTTTTGTGTTTTCAAAAGTCAGTGGCTGTGGGTTTCCTTTAAAGTTCATCATTTGATGTGCATGGGATAATTACTTTCAGAGAGTTTTATTAAAATCCGTTCTTTGGTTCATGAACTATTTTGTAAACAAACTGAGAAAAGCGCAACAACATTTTGGCACTTTCGCGCACGGCGGTGGGCGATAAACCTGAACATACCTAAAGGTAGAAAGAAGAAAAAGGGCAGCCAGCAGAGGATGAACATCCCCACCACGATGGCGAGAGTTTTCGCCGCCTTTTTCTCCCTGGAGAACTTCATGAGRCGCACGGAGAGGGAACTTCGGAACGGGTGGTTCTTGCTGCTCTTGGAGCTGGCGGTGCGCGCGTCCTCCAGCACGCTGCGGCAGTGGATGCGCAGCACCACCTCCACAGACTTGTCCCTCTCCCGCTTGACCCCTGCCTCCAGGCTCCTGGTGGTCCTGCGGGCGACCACGTACACCCTGAAGTACATGATCAGGATGACCATGAGCGGCAGGTAAAAGGAGAAGAGAGAGGAGAAGAGCGCGTAGCCGGGCTCCTCCGTGATGCTGCAGATGCTGTCGTCCACKGGCGGGGGTTCCTTCCAACCCAGCAGGGGTCCCACGGAGATCACCACGGAGGAGACCCACACCAGCACCAGGATGGCCGCCGCTCTCCTCTCCGTCATGATGCTGGGGTACTTGAGACAGTACTTCACCCCGATGTAGCGGTCGATGGAGATGATGCAGAGGCTGAGGATGGAGGCGGTGCAGCAGAGCACGTCCACAGCTGCCCAGATGTTGCAGAACACCCGGCCGAACGCCCAGCAGCCCAGAACCTCCAGGGAGGCGGAGAAGGGCAGCACGATGACGCTCAGCAGCAGGTCCGCCATGGCCAAGTTGACGATGAAGAAGTTGGTGATGTTCTGCAGGTGTTTGTTGCACACCACGGACAGGATGACCAGGATGTTCCCGGCGAACGCCACCAGGATGAAGGCGGACAGGAAGATCCCGACCCCGACAACCTGCGGGTCCATGATGGTGAAGTTCCTGCACGCCGTGACGTTCTGGTCCAGGACGGAGTCGTTGAGCGCGTCGAAATCCAGCCCATAGTTGCTGCCATTACTCAAATTAGACTCTGTCATTTTGCGCCATAAAGAGAACTTTTTAGGGGAAGTTTTTTCTTTTCTTTTCCCCCTCAGGAAAAACGAGTGAAGCAGAACGCGGTCAGGCTTACTCCAACCAGCAAGACAACCAGGCGGCCGTCAGCGGGATTAACCCTTCCCATCATCAGGAATAGCTATTAATATTAATAATAAAMTAAAACAAAGCATCCACATGCGCGTCTGCTTAATTGAAAAAATGTTTTCAAAGAAGGAAGCTCACTGGAAAAATCAGATTCTTCAAGTCATAAGGAAAAAAAAAGAAAAATGTAGGAAAATACACTGAGGTCCACATTTCTTATTCCACACGAGTGTTTCCTGCTGCATCCTTTGGACCAACTCTGATCACAGACTGGGAGCTGGTGCAGCAGGTCTGAACCCTCAGCTCCACCCACACGGATCACATTCATGTTCCCAGTCTCCACAAGAGAGCGTACACATTCAGACATGACCACCAGAATACTTTATTTTTTTWAAATAAGCATTTGTTGTAAAAGCCAAAAATAGCAACAAAACATCTATACTGTTATTGTTTCATACAAGAATAAAGCTCCATCCYTGAAAGACAAGAACAAAATAATCCAAACATAACCAACTGTGCTGACAGTTAGTGTTTTCATCAGAGAGCCCTCATGCAAAGCTGTGAAGTTTCCCAGACACTGGGGCTGCCACATCCAGACTTTGTGCGCTTTCAAAGAAGGACAAGCCGGTCCAAAACCCCAGGGAGCCCGCAGGAAAGGGTCAAGGAGCGGGACATCATGTGGGGAAAATAAAAACCTCAAAGTATCACTTTGTCTGGTGGGACTTAAACACCGGATCTTATTTAGATAATATTAATAACAAACCTGGAAAAAGGTCAAAAGTTGTAATGCRCTCTGACTATAAACATAATCACCCCCTCTCATTTCCTGTGTGAATTTATTTACAGGTTAACAGTGTCACAGTATTTTTATACTATTTTAATATAAAACTGAGTTTCACCCTTATAACCAATAAACTATTGTTTCTCACAAAATAAATAAACTCTCCCAATGATTTAGTTTGTCTCCATGACAAATTCTGTTATAATTATCATCATAATTTGTTAAGACATGTAAATCTGTCAAATGAATGATTCTGGCACAAAGTAGCATCGACCAGTGTGGCAACAAACATTTCCAAAGAGATTTTTAATGCTAACTTTAAGAAATCTGTTGCAAAATCTGTCTTTGTTTCTTTCTTTGCCAAACATTGCCAAAGCAAGTTTGTGAGTTTTGATTTCTGACTCATAAATTTTTCATAATTTCACCCGTATCATGACCATTCTTCCACAAACTTCCCAAACATAATTAGCACCCCGGCCTGAAGACATCTACAGACCAATCTCCATGCTGGCTCCAACCACCTGATGTTAATGGAAGTCCATCAAATTACACCWGCGCTATTCAATTTATGGGAAATTTAGAGTGCACCGTTCAAATGACTTTGCAAATGAGATGGAACTTCACAAGACATTCTTTTTGTGAGCTTTCTGTCCAGCAGTGTGATTTATTCACTTCATATATCTGCAGCAATGCCTTCTAGGAACAATGGGTCTGAATCCTATGGTGGTCCTTTTATTTCAACTCACTGAGTCTGTACATTTGTACTGCTTTCTTAAAAAAATAAATAAAAACTAAAATCAGAGGCCAAAAACTCCAGTAATGTGAACACAGCTGTATGTGTGCAGTATCAGTTTTCTAAAAAAATACATTATGTACTTTGCATATGCAATGTAATTTGTGGCAAGTAATTGTTCTTCAAATACCTTCAACTTTATAAAAACTCTCCTGGTTAAACTTGGAAACAGTGTTAATCATTTCTTGTAGTAAACAGAAAACAATTCCTTCTGACGGTCGGACACAAATAAAAGACTATACTACAAATACTACGAGTTCATGTGTGATTTAATATTACATAATATCAAACACATTGTCATTTACATTTGGCCGTCAACTCAAACTCTTTCATTTCTTACAGAAAAATGATTTTAGTTTGAACCTTTTGTAACAAAGGCAGTGGGTGATATGGATCCCTTCAAGAAATGTTAAGCCTTTATGCCCACGGGCCACATCCAGTCTGTAGGTGACTTTTTAAAGTTAGTGTTTCGTTTTTAATAAAAAAAAAACAATCAAAGCAACTCAGGATCCAAGGGCATTTATTCTAAGTCCCCACAACAACACATTGCACGAAGCTAAATATGAGAAATTTACTAAAGTCGCAATAAACAACGGCAACTTTTATACTTAAACCACAACAACGTATAGGAGTACGCACTCAAAGTGTCGAATGCAGTTGAATGGCAGCTCTCTTAACAAAGTGTTTATTTTTTGTTTCCTTCAAGCATTTTGTATTTTTTTTACTACACAAGAGTGCAATTGTACATGCATTTAAGCATGACATCCTCTAAGTTACTGCATTGTATGTTGGTCAAATAAATTACATATATATATAGTATATA